GCTCGCAACGGCTACATTCGCAACTTCGTCAAAAGAACTCTAACACAAAGAAAAAAAGAAAGACGGAGAATCGGGAACAAGAACGACCCTGCCGTACATCAAGGACGTTTCGGAAATGACGGTAAGACTGCTCAAATCATATGGAATCCAAGTCGCCCACAAACCTACCGCCTGTCTAAGGAGACTTCCGTCAAAACCAAAGAGAGAACCATGAAGAAAGACATGAGCAGTGTTATCTACAAAATAAACTGCAAGAACTGCTCAAAACACTATATCGGACAAACTGGGCGAAAACTGTCAACAAGGATCCGTGAACACCAATCGGCAGTCAGGAGACATGACCCACTAACTTTGAGTTCCCTCCACGAAGATCAAGAAGGACATCACATTGACTTCGCTTCAGCGAAAATTATCGACCAAGCCCGGTCAAAACACGCCAGAGAATTTCTCGAAGCTCGGCACTCCTCAATCGACAGGCACATTGAACTGGATCACGTGTGCACGTCAATGCAACTCAAATGACGCGACAAAAAATGGTCACACCGTGACCTGAAAAACGGACCGAAACCGCAATCAGGACGGATGGACAACTACCTCCCTACCAACCTTACCCCCACGCACCAGTTTAACGGCGAACCCAGTCAAACACAATAAGAACAAGGGACAAAATTGATCGGTGGAGGAGAACACATATATAAAAGAACGGATACAAGTAACAGACTGCCACTTCACAAGCACTGATGATGTCACCTCGGCTGGTGTTGAAACGCTTGCAAACAAATTGCCAAGCTCGGGGAACAGGCGAAATAGAATTCAGTTCACCCGAACTACGAGAACCGATTTTAAATTCTTTGTCAATGATTGAATATATTCCAAGGCAATACACTGCACAGTACAGTTAGTCCATAAATTCAGTTCTGGGTTCGGTCAAAACGGTTCATAATCACCACAAGGTTTGATTGGTTTAGGATTGAGCTTGTAAACCTATCCCGTGTTTGCGTCGTGAGCACAGTTTCCGCGCATCCCACTGCAACGGGCGGCCAAGGGCGGAAAGATTACCGATTATTAATTGAATTGCCATAGAACTAAAGGCGGACCACAGAGCTTCGAACATCTGCCTCAAAGTTTAACACCTGAGATAGGTAGTCCTCGTTAAGGCGGGAAGTATGCAATATGGAACATTAAGTTTCTTTTCAGCTGTGACTTGGATACTAAAACGCAAACGAACAACACAAATTAGATGAGCGACACGAAAGACAAAAACATTTGAAATGACTAAACAAATAATATATATCCAACATCAGTCTACAAATACGGCACCACAATAGCCATGGGTTGAACGCGAAATGGAGAAACAGAAAACGAAGTAAACGAACCCAGTTAACTTTGGGAGCGAAAATCTTTGCTTATTTACTGCACGCCATTATGGTTAAACACACAAGTTTGGTCTCAGCAGGTGAATGATTGATTTTCTCGGTAAGGGATTGGCTTAACGCATACCTTGAAATTGACTGCTCGGCACAACGTTGTCATAGCCACCTAAAACTTTGGAGTAACACAGAGCCGGAGATGGTGCCTACTTTAGTTTTATTCAACCTCAGTATGGTGGTGTGTCTGGGATTGTGACTGATCACCATTCCCTTACACCTCGCGAAATGCTCCCGTTTGTCCACGCGTCTCAAATAGGCTCTGCTGAGGAAGCCCTTCCCACTGCCTTCTCATGGCGGAGGTGTTCTCCCACCAAAGTTGGAGGACGAAAAGCCAACATCCGGGGCTATCCTGGGTTCGTGAACCATTGGCAGTTCACGTAAAGGAGTTGGCTAAAACCCCTGATTCCAAACCAACCAAGAAGAGGCGTACGAATCACAAGCACACCTTCCCGGTTGCGGCAGTAGTCACCAGATCAATTGGGCATCAAGGTGTATTGCGCACCTTGGACGTTTGACTCCGTCCGATGAGGTGGATACCGGCCCCTAATGAACTACGGACTCTTATCTCCGTCTTGTTGTCTTCCAGGTCTGGCTTTCTAACCAAAGGCCTCGGGTGGAGACCCCCAGGTTATTCTCCTTC